GTGTAGCTATCTTGATGACGGCCATGACGATCAACAAAGAAAGGGGCCATTTCCTCACCAAACTGGAGCAATGGATCATCATCCACTTTTTCCCATTCATTCATTTCTTTTTTCATCCTGCGGATTTCGGCTTCCGCCGATGCATACAACAAATCGTTCTGATCGACTGCTCCATTGAGGAGTTCTGATGCATCTTTTGGGATGCGTTTCAATAGCTTCTTCTCAATGAATTTACCATCCGGTGAAATCGTGATCTCCATAGAATCATCAAACCTGACCAGAGGATACACAGTGCAGTGGAGGACGTCGTTTGGGAGTTTAAAGCAAATGCTTTTGCCAAACTCGTTCTTTTCGGCATGAGGGATTTTTAGAGGCTCGTCAAGGGTCATTTCTTCAGTGTCTGTAGAATCATCAGCGATGTCAATATTAGTATCAAGTTTATCACCAGGAGGATCTATTCCATATGCAATGCAATGCCTATTGAACTGGCTCCTTGCTTCGCTCTTCACGGATTTCAAGAAACGAAGTCGTGCGGACACTCTTTCATTGTCTTCATCAAATGAAACGTTATTTTCTCTTTTGTATACTCTTAGGTTATTGTAGGATGAACACAAGAACTCACATAAATGCTTGTCGGTTTTGCTAGAGACGCTTGTCTTGTAAAGTTTTAGCTTTGGCATTGTGAGCGTTCTTGTGTTGTGGGAAGATTTTCCAGATTTGAAGTGATTCAAATCACGACTGGAGACGCGATCTCCTCTAGATATTTTCCTATCCATCGTCGAAAGGCAGCATAAATTTACATTTATGCGTCGAATCGCTCAACATTCTTTTCTCATTCACAGTGGGTGCGCCATACACAGACTTTGGAGGATTCAAAGTAGTCGAAACCTGAGAGTCCCTTGTTTGAAACGGAACGTATGTTGAATTTCCAAGTTTCACACTACATAATAAAAATAGCTTCGCAAAAAGAGCTTATACGAAAACTCATCAATAATCGAAACGGAGATGACCGTTCATTCAAAGATTCACTATTCACCTAGAGCCTTCGAGAAAGTGGGTAAGAAAATCGGCTACAATTCTCTAAGGGGTTTCAAGTCGACTTTCGGGCTCCGCCCACAAGTCTGTGCAGCAGTTTGGATTCGCATCAGGAATGCCCATGGGGCCAAACCAGATCATCTTCTATGGGCACTTCTTTTCCTGAAGAATTATACTTCTCAAGACGATTTATCCGGTCGTGTCGGATGCTGTCGCAATACATATTCCAAATGGACATGGGCGATGATTGAGGAGATCGCTGCGTTGTATGACTCAGTGGTAAGTCGCAATGACGATTGAAGTCGCAAATTGCAAGAGGTGCCTCACGCTCGCCATCCAGATCGTTTGGCAGAACAGGAAGAAAGGTGGCAAATTCAACAAATGGTGCTGGATCACCGTTGATGGGACAGACTTTATGATCCAGCAACCCACGCCCTTCAGCAAAAAGTGGTACAGCCACAAGTTTAAGGGGCCTGGCCTTCGGTATGAGGTGGCGATTTCCATCATGGGCGGTAATATTGTCCATACAAACGGACCATTTCCATGTGGTAGTTTTCCCGACATCACTATCTTTCGAAATCATTTGGTTGATAGGTTGCAGAAAGGGGAAATGGCCGAAGCCGACCTTGGTTATCGCGGTGAACCCAGGAAGATTAGACTCCCCTGTGATTGGCAGACAGAAGTAGAGAAAGGACTGAAGACAAGGGCTAGATCGAAGCAAGAAACTGTAAACAAGCGCTTCAAAAATTGGGGTATTTTGAAGCAGCAATACCGCCATCCCCTTCGTGACCATCAGGTGGTGTTTCGAGCCATCGTGGTTATGACACAGCTGGATATCGAACTGGGTGCATCTCTATACAAAATGTAATCTAGACCGATTGACACTTACTATTGAACGCTCGCTTCTCGTGAACCCTGCTGCCAAGGTAGAAACCTTGCTGTAGTCTCTTGGGGTTCATTCTACTGCCATGGCAAGTATCTAAACTCGATTGAAAACCAAGAGACTAATCAAGCGACATTCGAGAATGCTCCCTTTCGGAAAAAATGGGTACTTACCGTACCTTGGAAGAAGAGTTCAAGAGAAGGAGGCATTGAATACAAATTATAACCATGTCTAGTAGTAGATTACATTTCTTATGTAGGGATAAATTCATTTCAGATATCCTGCTGCGCAACAGCCACGCACATTGAAACCATCTTCTGATTCTCACGGATGCGATGATGGTACGCTAGGCCCTCTCCACTTGTAGCTGAAGTAATCTTTCGTGTTGAAGAAAGTGGGTTGCGATGGCGGTAGGGCACCACCACCAAGAACAGGCCCGCTGTTGAACTTATGGCTGTACCAGTTTTCGCTTATGGGCGTGGGTTGCTGGATCACAAAATGTGTTCCATCAACGGAGCAGGCTTTTGGTGAATACTGAATCTTTGACTGGGTGGCCATTTTCCTTTCGAAGTTTTGACTGGTCGTCTATCGTAATTTTGGATTTTATGACACCATGAAACTCGGAATTCATCGTTTCTAACTCGGGACTATATCACGTTTTGACTACATTGAATCTTACGGACGGCGCACTTTGCGTGAATGAGAACGAATCAATCCAGCGATAGAGGTCGCGTCTGCTCTACTTTGATCGCATGAAATGATTTACTATCATGATTGAAACGAGAGAGTGTCATGGTTCCCGCTTCAAACATGACAGTCTCACGTTTCGAACATGGTATTCCCCGCTTGAAACATGGTATTCCCCGCTTAAAACATGGTATTCCCCGCTTGAAACATCGTAATCCCATCAAACATGACTGTCTCACGTTTCCAACATGGCCCGCTTCAAATATCTCGTGTTTCAACTTCGGTCGTTGTTGATTCAGGTTCTACAAAAAAGTATTCTATGGTATTTGATAAGTTGTACTATGGCAATATGTCCATCATCCTATCTATGTCGGGCTGGATCTTTTCTTTTTAAACATTGTCCCAACGAATTGGAAGTCATTGGATTCAACCGGTACCAAATCGTTTTCTTTCTCCACCCAGAAGGTCACCCACACTGTGTCGCCACCGTCAGATCCAACATAGAATCTCGTTGTGTGGTTCCCATTCGGATCTAAGAGCTTCTTGGTAGTTTTGAAATCGAACTTGATGGTGTCGAGCTCGTTCCAGATGGTCTGTGTCCCCTTCTTGACATTTTCGAGTTTGACGCCTGCATTGCTTGCCTGTTCCTGTGCCGATTTGACAAGGACAATGTCATGGGTGTTTGAGTCACTGCACACCGTTGTAATGCCATCAAGAAGGACCGTAGTATCCAAACATTCCACTGGCAGCCTTCGTTTGATTACAATCTCGGTCGAGCTCTTGAATTCAAGCTTGATGTCATCTCTTGATTTCACTCCTCTTGGACAAGGAAAACAGACGTAGGTCCGATGGTCCGGATACTTAATCACTCTTTTCCATACAGAGGGCTTGCCACTGGTATCAGCGATGGAGATGTTATTGAAGTCTTCTATAAGGCCCATTTCTGATTGATCTTGGCTGAGTTTTGATAGTTTGTGTCGTCGGTAGGAAGAAAATGGTTTCGGTTGAATGACGGGATTGACAATGCTTGCAGATTGGCGAAGTTCAACGGCCCGCTCGTAAACGTGAGAGTCCCATTTTTTAAACGTGAGAATCCCTAGTTTCGAATTGCATTTGATCCACTCGACCAATGAAGCTACTTGGAAAATAATATGTCAAGGCAAACAGCTCTGGATGATCGTATTACACGTATGGTAAATGGCCATGTCAGCCGGTATGACACTGACAGTATACAAGGACATTGTTTATAGATTTAAATACACACTTATATTTGTTGGCAGCTAATTCCTAAAAACAGCGACTTCTGGGGGCTGGCTCACCCCTCCGACAATCAAGACTTGTTGACACCTTCAAGGATTGAGTTTCGTCTTTTTACGTTGATCCTTTACATCTCCTAGCAGGCGGAGGATTGGTAAGTGTGGCGGTGAAAACATTCAACATCATCAAACCCGCTCACCTGATTGCACAGCGGACGCTCCTGTACTCGGGGTCTTCTTCGCCCTTCCGACAAAGACAAGATCATCGGACTGCTGGGAGTAGAAACTGTATCCCTTTTGGACCACCCAAAAGGTAGTCCAAATAATATCTTCACTGCACCCATTCACGTAAGGCTTCTCAACTTTGTTCCCCGAGGCATCCAGGAAGAATGGTTCGACTTCCTTTTCAAAAGAGATTTCTGCAATCTGGACCCAAGGCAAGTTGTCGTTCTCGACATCCCTAAATGTCAATCCCAATGCCGTTAGCTCCCGCGTAATTTCATTATTTAGAGCAGCGTAGTGGATGTTTGCTGCTGGGTCAAAGTCATCAACTGCGGTCATGCCTTCCAACAACAGAGCAGGCTTGTAGAAAGCAGGATTTCTTCGAATGTAGACCTGAATAGAAGATGACCCAGCAAATTCCA